TTCCTTGTGTAGGTGTCTTCCTGAAAGAGTTAGAGACATCTTATTACAGTGATATATGCATGTACATACGTCTAGCAGCACAATTTATAATAGTTAAATTTTGGAAATGGCCTATATATTCATCAGTGAGTGGATTTGATTTTTTTGTGTTGTTTTTAAACAGGGTTTCTCTATGTAGTTCAGTCTGTACTTAAACTCATTCTGTAGCCCAGGTTGGCCGCAAACTTGTGTAACTTCTGCATCAGCCTCTAGACTGCTGGGATTATAGAGATGCACAGCCACATCAGTAAGATGAATGGAGTACTGAATCAAAACTGAGTACTTCTCTGCCATCATCTGTGGCAAAACGGATGCATTTTGAGACCATAATGTTAAGGTGAGTATATCAAACACACATACTTAAATGTCCTATGGTTTTTCTCCTATGAGAAAACTAACATATACATATAATTCGAAGGAATAAAGAATGGATTCTAGCAAACCGGTAGATCTTTTGAAAATGGGCCAGGATTTAGAGATGAGGGAGGAGAGTGAAGACAGGGAAAAGTAAAACACAAAGTATTAATCAAGGACGTTGGGTACGTGTACCATCTTCCCTTACTGAATGTACCCACTATGTACCACTATGTATGTACTGTAAATGTGTACTAATAAAAAGTACAAATTAAATTCAAAGTATAAATAAATGCTGCTTTCTTTTTATTATTATTCTTAGTGCCTTTAGTTGTTTCAGTATTAGATCTTTCTTCTTTAAAAAAAACTCTGTGGTGACATTTTTATTTATACTGGATAGAGTTAGAATGTATGCTTACCAAAATTGTAACTCATTGTACACTTTGAGAAAGACATAGCGATGCAACCAGTAAATAAAATCATGGGTGGGCCGTGTGGGGACTAAAATATGTGTCAGATTCTGATTTAAAGTCTGCTCCAGATGTAGTCATGCAATTGAAGTACCTCAACTCACTTTGCTCCATAAAGCTGGCTACCAGATATAGCTTATTATTTGCTTCTCAGAGACAGGGTTTAGATATGAATCTAAAATCACTCTGCTATGGCACCTGTGAGGTCAAACCTCTCTTCTTATATTAATCTCCATTTGTAGTTACTGTGCAGTGGTAACCCCACTGCCCCAGCTCCACCTCGGATGACTGAGTTTCACATTCTTCAGTTTGCACACAACCCAGATCCTCCCCATGCATGCATGGATCACATAGTGTTTTAGTTCTGCAGAGTGTGGATGGGTGTTACTGATCTGACAGCAAGCAGAGTTCAGGCAGTAAGGTGACTAGTGGGGAGTGGCTGTGCATACAGATGAAGCTTCAGGGACCAGCCTGCCCCTTATCTCCTGCTGTGTGGCCCTGTTTCCCACGGACACATCTGGGATCCTAGATCTAAGCAATCTCTGTCAGTATCACGCTTTGCTTCATGTTTCTCTTTCCTGAGATCTTTGATACTTGATTCATGGTTATCTTTCCATTATTGACATTGCCGTGGCTATAATTTCAGAACGGGAGCAAATCTATCAGAATATTAGTCACATTACTCTGAGGACTCTTATAGTCTTTACATCTGCGCTACTTAACCTTCCCTGTACTGACCATCACTTTCATTCAGCAGTCACTATACACATATAGTGTTCCACCTCCTACAAAGTGCAGGGAATACACACAAATGATGAACAACATCAACTCTCTGCCTCTGCAGAGTTTGCAATATTATGGAGGAAGGATAGAAGTATTCCTTAAACAGTAACTATTCCTTGACAATTTTTTTTTAAATTTTAAAGGCAAAAAACATTAAAAATTATTAATTGGATGTAACTATATTGTTGAGTATATTTTTCTATATTCTTGATATACATTATCTAAGTAATGTATGTAACTTTAATTCCCACTAACATCCTTTGAAGAAGGAACTATTCTTTTTCTGTTTTTACTCTCACCAAAATGGAGATATTAATAAATTAAGTAAGTGGTCCAAGGTCTCAAAACAAAACTTACATTTATTACACCTGAGACTTGAAACTAAAAGGCCTGGCTTTGTCTTCACTATAATATGCAAACCTTTCTATAAGTACTCAACCAAACAATGTAGACATCTGTAGTGTGCAAACTTGTTTCCTGCTATTGCAATTTAAAAAAATATCAAGTGAGCTGTTCATCAGGCCAGCCTGGGGGCCAGAGCAGAGGCCCACAGCTTCAGCTCAGCATTCCAACAGGCCAGAGCCCCACCCCTACCTGCAATAAATTGAGGAATAAAAGGAGTTTGAGTGTCATGAAGTTAATATTTTGGTAAAAGTGTTAGAATAATACCCGTAAAAAAAGAATGGAACTTTAGTATATCTACAGCTTTCTCTAGAAAAGCTTTCTTTTAGATTTAGTATCATGGCAAAAGCAAGACTTGATCCAAGAGCAGGGGTGGGTTTTAGTCTAAGAATGGGGATGAACACTGAAGAAATGAGAAAAGCACTGCAGGTCACCATTCCCGGTAAAGAAGCAACCTGGACATGACTGCCTTGATTGCATCCAAATCAAGATGGATTCTATTTCCCTGAAAGGTGAATTTCTGCTCTAACGCTATCCTGTTGATACTCAGCAGTAGCACTTGAAGTTAGAATTAAATTTGGAAGCTTAAAAGAAAGAATTTGGATAAAGACCAAGGGCTGTTAAAAAATAAATACTTTTTAAAAAATCTGTTGTTTTTGGAAAATCTGACATAGGAAAAATATTTGGAAGCAAATTCATCCTTCTTAATAAGAAATCAAGCACTTATAACAACATTCTTTATTTTATAATGAATTATTTGTATCTTTACTTTTAATATTCTAGGGAAATGTGTTTATTATGAGACCTTCTATGTGTCACTCCAGTACACCAGGAGAAATAAAAATGACTTAAAGGTAGCGTATGCACTTGGGGTGAACTAGTTTGGGACGGAAGAGATGGGGAGGCAAAGAAGTGCTCTCGAAGAGGACATGTATTTAGCTAAGTGACAGGGGATGTGTCTAAGAGGGGGGAACTGAGGCGCACAGGAGAGTGGTTAAGTCAGTACCAAGGACGTGAACAATAAGTTGGTTCTGATTAGTACAGAGGGAAGGCAGAGGGCTTGAGGACTCCTGGAAGACTGAATTCTGAAGACGGGGAGGGTTTAAGTACTGAGATTGTGAACACTTAACCTTAGATTTGGCTCAACTTTGCTTGCAGTAATTATAACTTCACTTGGATTACCACTGACCACTCCAATTTCCACAATTGTTTTTCAACTCCAGTGATTTGAATGAGATAATTAAGGATAAAATCTAGGAAAAGTGTTACTCATTATTTGTATCATCACCATTATTTGTTACTTTAAAAGAAGAAAGAACTAGTATGTGAATGCTACAAATGCATGAGTTTGCCTATGATGCTACTGGCAGCGCTAAATTCTTGAACATAATAAATTGACAAAATTCCAAATAAACTGACACAAAGTTATCTTCATAGCATATTGATGCTAAATTCAATTTGATTGTTAAGAATAAAGGCTGGACCAGTCACATGATGGATAATGTGTCTGACTATGATTAAGAAATATTAATTTAATTTCATGTAAATGGATCTTTATAAAAACAGATTCCTTTGGGGCTGGGGATTTAACTCAGCGTCATAAGTGCCTGCCTTCTAAGCAGGCAGTCGTGAGTTCAATCCCCGGTACCGATAAAAAGGAAAAAGACAAAAACAAAACAAAACAAAACAAAAACAAAACAAAATAAAACAAAACAAAAAACAGATTCCTTCATTAGCATTTTGAAAAAAATCTTCTGAATTTATAGAATATTATATTTCTAATTTTTAAGTAACTTAAGTAGTTAAGAGTCATCCTTTGTTCTGTTTTGGCAGTTCAAGATCATTTTATCATACATATGGTCAAAGGCATAGAGAAGAAATTTGGAAAGGAGGCAGAACTCAAATTAGATTATTGTATTTGCCCAGAGAAGTACATGGTCAAGCAGCAGAGAGCTTTTTTGTGGGTTTCATTTTTTCTTTATATTCTCTCCTCCTCCTGCAAGTGCTTATGGGATTACACTCCCATACTCTGAGAGATGGAACAGAGTGAATTTACTGCAAAATTGACAGTTGTACAATTCTAGAACACAGTTCTCTGGCATATAATAACTATTTTGCATTTAATTAATAGCCTAATAGATCAAATTACATATTAACCTAATTATGCAGAGCTGTATTGAAAATGTATGATGCATGTGTCTCATCTCTTTTACAAGAACCCTTCTAATTAGTAAATAATGGCATAATGATTTGCAACTGGGTTGAACACATACATACATAGCGTATTACAATACAGTAATGTTACATGAGGCCCAGGTAGTAAATTTTAAAATGTATATATTCAAGATAGAATCAAATTTACACTTGTTGGAGAATAGGATTATCTGATTACAGTTAAAACTAGTTTTTAAAAATCCTACTACGAAACGATTTAATTTTGCTAACTCACGTTTTCTTCAAGTATTTTTTCCTTAAATGTTAATTCTTTGTTTGAAAAATGTGAAAGATAATTCATAAAAGGAAATAACAAGAATAGGAGCTTAATACTTTCTGTTGACAGTTGTGATAAAATTAACCTCTCGCCCAATTTAAAATTAATCTATTTGCCTTTGCATTGCTTCAGTGGCTTATCTGTCAGGTAAGACAGCAGCTTATTTTTTTTTTTAGTAGCTCTTTGGTTTGTGCAAGTTTATATTTAAATCCATTTAGTTTAGTTAAGAGTCTTTGGCACTTTAGAGGAGATTTCATCCAGTATTCATTGTAATCTTACTGGTGTCGCATTTTGAGTACATATTCCACAGCTATTGTTCAAAAATTTTGTTGCATTTTGATTTTCAGACATGAAAGCAAGAAATAAGTGATAAATGCATTGTTTGAAAACAAAACATCTCTGTCTCTTCCCAAAATTTCTAGAGATTAAAGAATATAAAGACCTGTAACAATTTTTCTTACCTTTCTCCACTTAGCAGTGTGACACTGAGCATTTATATCCCTGGATGTCATCAGCAGAGAATGTAAGCATCTCTATGAAATCACATTTTTCCGTTGCCTGTCAGATTTTAAGGAGGGTGAAAAATAGAGTCAGGTGAGAGGAACAAAGGTGAGGATGGATTATGGGAAATGTAGTAGGCTATTGTAAACTCAATAATACTGATACAAGCATAGGAGAAATATCTTTCAAAATGTAGACATCATAACACCTGAACTGACTTAGTCTATGTTACTGTAGTGCTCCTCTGGGAAGAGGAAACACAGAAAACATAGTAAAAAGTCATAAAGTTCACATAGACAGCCTGGCAGGACCGTGATTCTGACCTTGATACTGTAAGAAATGAAGTGAATATCCTTATGCTTCATCTTGAAATATGAAAACAGCCTCCTTTCTTGGGTGAAACTACGGTTTCCCAGTTCTGATTCACTTCTGTCAGTCGAGCTCAAATCAGTCCAGAGAGGGCTAAAATTCTAATAGCTCAGTTTCATAGTCACAGAGGGGCATTTGGCTCACTGCATATGTAAAAAACAAAACAAGTGACTGTAGGGAAAAAAAACAAGAATAAAAATAAGAATTTTCTTTTACACTTGTACATTGTGCTTGTGGTTTCTGCTGAATGTTCTCATAAAAAAATGAAATGTTAAAACATATAGTTTAGGGCTGGGGATTTAGCTCAGCAGCATAAACACCTGCCTGGCAAGCATAAGGTCATGAGTTCGATCCCTAATACCCCTTCAAAAAAAAAAAAAAACCCCCAAACACAAAACAAAAACCCCATAAAATCTATTAAATAATAATATATGTATATATTTATAAAATAAATAATAAAAATATAATTTACCATTGATGATTTTTAAATTAATTTAGTGCATCCTAAGTGTAACGCATTTTTAAATCCTAAGGCAGTGGCGGTGAAGCTATGGCACACAGTCCACAGCACACTGCTTGTTATCGTTGAAAGCTCTTAAACGCTTCCTACCACTGTACTAGGGCTTCACGTGCCCTCTTCACATTCTCCTTGCCTTTTGCAGGGAGTGGCTGAAGCTGGAGCTCAATCACATGTGTGGGGCTACAGCAAAGCCAGCCCTGAGAACACTGAGAGCCCAAAGTGAGCTACATAAACAAGCTGTCTCACCTCTGAGAAGACAAGGTGCCCAGGCCAGCCTGGTAAACAGGTTGCTAGGCAGATGGGTGGAATTGACACGTCAGCCTCTTGAGTGAATAATTAAATGCACTATAGTGGTTGAGCAGTTCCTTTTCTCCCATTATGAGAGAGAGAGAGCTCCACTTGAACTCAGCTTTCATTTCATTTCTTTATTTTTCCATCCTCTCACTGTCCTTCCCCCCGGTCCAGCCCATCAGGTTCCATTCTTGGTAATTGCTTTATACAGATAAACCAGTTTTAGAATATATTAGAATATATATATATATATATATATATATATAATTTTATTATATATTTTTATGTCTAGATATACAGATGCTTAGCATTGTATTACAGTTGCCTACAACTTTCAGTAAAACACTGCACTGTACAGATTTGTAGACTTCACTATGCAGTCTGGATATGTGGCAGACTACACCAACTCACTGAGTTTAAGTACACTCTACAGTATTCAAAACATAATGAAATCACCCAAGAATACATTTCTCAGAATTGTATCCCCTTTTTTTATTTAAAGGAAAAAAATAAAACAGAAAAAAGGGCAGAAATAATACATAATTTCAAAAAAATTAACGCTAAGAAATTACTAGTTGATAAATTATATATTGTCATCATATATTTGTTCAAGTCACAAAATTAAAGCATAAAAAGTTTTCACTCTCAAACAATGAGAGTGCAAGCTGCTCTGTTAAATGATCCAACAGAAAATTAATGATATAATTGTCTACCTTACACACTTAAACATATATCCAGTTATGTCCTTTAGAGAACTTTCCTTCCCTTTCTTTTTTACCATAGCTATTACACATTTTGGATCTTATTACTCTTACAGTATTTATTACCTTTTACACTAGAGAGACAAGGTGATATTGACAAATATGAGTCTCATTTATTTCACTTATGAGGATAGTCTCCAGTTGCCTCCACTTACCTATGAAGGCCTCCAGTCATATTTTTTATAGTTGAGTAATATTCCATTGTATAAAAATACCATATCTTTGTCATTCACTCTGTGGGTGATGGGCATTATGGTTGTTTCCGAGATTTGGTTATTACAAATTGTGCTGCTACAAACATGGGTGCACATACATCACTGTGAGATGTGACCTTTTAAGTTTGTCTGAGAAAATACCCAGGAGAAGCATAGCTGGATTGAATGGAACTTCCAATTCTAGTCTTCTGAGGAATCTCCATACTGATTTCCATAGTGACTGCAGCAGTCTACACTCCACTAAAGTGTTCCTTTTTCCCAAAGCCTTGTCAACATTTGTTATCAGTTGATTTCTTGGCAGCCATTATTTCTGGAATGAGATGAAATCTATTTCTCAAACGACCAGTGTTGGTGAACATTTCTTCATGTACTTATTTGCCATTTGTATGTTTTCATCTGACAAATGTGTGTTCATCTCAGACACCCATTTTTGGAGAGGGGCTTTGAATTTGGGGGACCTGATTTTTTAAAAATTCTTTATATGTTCTGTATATAAGTCCTTTGTCTGAGGGGTTTCTGGTTAAAATTTTTTTCCCATTCTGTGGGTTTTCTTTTCACTCTGTTGGTGATTTCTTTTGAAGTGCAAAAACTTTTTAATAATATAAGGTACCAGTTGTTGATTCTCTGAAGTATTTCCCTTGTGGCTCACATCTGTTCATGAATTTTCTACCTACCCCTATGTCTCCAAGACTTCTACCTACCTTGTCTTCCGGTAGATTTAGTGTTTCTGTTTTAGTATTTAGATCTTTGATCCATTTTGATTTTAATTTAGTGCATGGTGATAAGCATAGGTCTATTTTCAGTCTTTGGCATGTGGAGAGCCAATTCTTGCAACACTATTTATTAAACAGGCTATCCTTCTTCCAGTGAACACTTTCAGCCCCCTTGTCAAAGCAGGTAGCTGAGTGTCTTTGTGGTTGTGTTTGCATCTTCTAGTCTGTTTCATTGATCCTCAGGTCTATTTCTTTGCCAGTACCATGCTGATTTTATCACTGTGGTTTTGTACTATAGTTTCAAGTCAGGAATTGAGATGCCTCCTGTCTTGCCTTTGTTGCCCAGATTTGCCTTTGCTATTCTAGGTTTTTTCTATTTCCAAATGAATTTTAGGGTTGTTTTCTCTAGATCTCTTAGGTACGTTAGTAGTATTTTGATTAGGATTGCATTAAATCTGTATAACACTTTTGGGAGTATGGTCATTTTCACAGTGTTGGGTCTTCCTAGCCAAGAGCAAGGAATATCCTTCCATTTTCTAATATCTTCTTTCTAATATCTTCTTCAGTCTCCTTTTTAAGCATAGTATAATATTCAGCAAATAGGTCATTTACATTCTTGATTACGTGACTTCTAAGTATCTCCTTTTTTTAGATGCTATTGTGAAAGACGATACTACCATAATTTCCCTTTCAGTGAGTTTTTTGTTTGTGTACAGGAATGCTATTAATTTCTGAGTATTGATTTTGTATCTAGCTCACTGCTAAATTTGGTAATTATAGTAGTCATTTAATGGAGTTTTTTGGGTCTTCTATATAGAGTAACATGGCATCTGCAAATAGTGATAATTTAACTTCTTCCTTTCCTATCCTTATTCCTTTTATTTCTCTCTCTCTTGCCTTATTGCTCTGGCTAATATTTCTAGAACTACACTGAATAGGAGTAGTGATAGTGGACATCTCTGTTTTGTTTCCGATTTTAGTGTGAAATCTTTCAGTTTTTGTCCATTTAGTATAATGTTGGCTGTTGGTTTCTCTTAGATGGCCCTTATAAGATTGAGCTAGACACCATGTATTTTAAGTTTCTGAAGTGTTTATCAGGTTCTATCCTAAATCACCGATCTCCCAAATGAGTGTATAGCAGAGGTTAAATAAAAGGAGACAAATTGTATGAGTTTTAGAGCTCCAGGAGAGTCAAAACCCTTTAATTAAGCTTGAGGCTTTGAGGGTTAAGATAAAAGCTTCTCTGGATCAGTCCACTTACATTAGGACCAAGGACAAAGGGCAGACAAACTGAGGAAAATGCAGGCAATGAGCAAGACCTTGGGACTCACTTCAAAGACGTCTCCAAGTCATGAATCAAGTCAGTTAGAAGAACTGTCTTATGATGAAGGCATGGTAGAAGTGAGACTGTAGGAGTAATCTTTGCAGCTGCATTCTCTACCTTGTTAGTTGGGGTTGGAGCCAGAGTGTCCGCGGCTGTGGCCTTATCTTGCCCTTAGAGGTATCTCTGGCATCACAGGGCACTACAGGCCTCAGCCAGGACCAGTGATTCATAGAGGTTCACTTACTATGAATCCGCTCCCATCACCCTCCCATCGCCCTGCAAGGGGCCTAGGCCTAGGATAGACTCACAGAGAAACATAGAAAGCCAATAGTAAAATTTAAATCCTGCTCAGAGCTGCTTTGTACTGCTCTCCAACAGGTTATATCATGAACAAGTGTTGGACTTTATCAAAAGCTTTTTCTGAGTCTATTGAGATGATCATGTGGCTTTTTATTTTGGCTCTGTTAATGTGGTGTATTATATTTATTGATTTGCATGTGTTAAACCATCCCTACATTACTGGAATAAATTCTACTTGTTCATGATGTATGATCTTTTGATGATTGTTGCATTCTATTTGCCAGTGTTTTATCTTTGCATCAATGTTCATTAGTGAAATTGGCCTTTAGCTCTCCTTTTTGACTGGGTCTTTCTCTGATTTTGGTATCAGAATAATACTTGCCTCCAGGAATGCTTTAGGGAGGATTGCTTCCTTTTCAATTGCATTGAAGACTTTAAGGAGTATTGGCGTCAAACCTTCTCCAAATTTCTTGTAGAATTCAGCTGTGAATCCATCAGGACCTGAGCTTTTTTTTTTTTTTTTTTTTTTTTTGTTAGTAAGTTTTAAATCACATTTTCAATTTCAATAGCTGATACTAGGTTGT